GTGCTCCTCCAATGTTTTGGTATAGATAAGAATGTTGTCAAGGTATATACACACTACACCTTTAGCAACAAGGTCCTAGAAGATATTTTTCATCATTGTTTGGAAGGTGGCTGGGCTATTGGTGAGTCCAAAGAACATAACAAGAGGTCTGAACAGTCCCTAGTTGGTCCAGAAGGCAGCCTTCTATTTGTCTCTCTTCTAGATATGCACATTATTGTAGCCCCACCAGACATCTAAGTTAGTAAAGTATTGGGCATACTGGAGATTATTAATGAGCTTGGAGATGAGGAGGAGAAGGTAGCAGTTCTTCATGGTTATAGTATTAAGCACCTAGTAGTCCTGGATCAGTTGGAGCAAGCCATCCTTCTTTTTGATGAAGAAGACTAGAGAAGCCATTAGGAATTTGGAGAGGCAGATGTGACCAGAGTTCAGGTCTTCTTGCAGAAAGGCATCAAGCTTGTCCTGCTTCTTAGGTGCCAGTGGGTAGACCTTACAGCTCAAGGGCTTAGAATCCAGCATTTATTCAATGGCATGGTCCCACTGTTTGTGCTCCAAGAGCAAATCAAATGAGGCCTTAGAGAACATGTCCTCAAACACATAGAGGTATGGAGGCATAATGTTCTAGAATGCTTATAGTATAGAGTTGGTAGCAAACACCTGGGCTAGCCACTGGAATATGGTCTGGCTAGCCCAGATCTCTATAGTGGAGGGCAGTGAGCATAAGGTAGTGGCATAGATCTGGTCTCCAACTTCCATTGCATCATCTGGAAGTTCTGGATTGCATATGCTTCTAAACTCCCCTCCTAATTCCTCTTCTAGAGCCCCACTACTGCTCTAGTTAATCTTGTAGAGGGCCTCTCTATGAGAGAACACTAGGAGCAGGGGGTCCAAAAGGTTTAGATCTACAGAGGGGAGATGGTCAGTGTAGCATGTCTGGATGGCCACATATTCTCAAACTTCAGTCCAGCACTCTTCTCTGGCCTTAGTGGTGCAGGCAGAGCACCTCCAGAGGCACCAGCTCATAGTTACCTTACTCTAGGCCCAGTCTACTTTGGAATTGTGCTTTTGGAGCCATGTGAAACCAAGGATCATGTCCTGCTTCCCTAAGCTGGTAATGGCAAAGACTGCATGCTCGGCATGATTCTGGTAGCAGAGAACAAGGTCTACTACAGAGCTGATAGTGCCAGCTTTGTTGGGTATTCTGTTAATGTTGAACACCAGAATGGACTGGGGAAGTGGCTGCATGGTCAGGCCATAGTGCTTTACAAACTCTAAGTCTAGAAACAGTCCCATTGCTCTGCTGTCCAGGAAGGCAGTGACTTCATAAGTATGCTAAGTGTCTGTGGTCTTGATTTCTATGTTAAGGCATAATGAGTTTGTATATAGGCTCAAGGCTACTATGTACTGCCAAGATAGTTGGTGCTCCTAGGCAGAACAGTGCTGGTGGAGCCTAGCTGGTGTTAGGAGGCTTGGCTTGGACTCCAAGGTTAGTGTTTGTACATCTGGAGAGGAAAGCTAAGAATCTTCTATCTTAGAATAATCAATATTGAGAAGGGCAATTTTATTTTCTAACAACAGATGAGAACCTGTTAGTACATGGCAATGAAGGCATACACCTCATCTGTTGCTTGACTAAAAATCCTCCTCCAGGCCTGGGAGGAGGAGTGTGCAAGCACCAATTTTCTCCTGGGTAAACTCTAGTGCTGGCTCATCTGGTGGTGGAGCTCTAGCAGCATCATTCACAGCCAACAGTTGCAGAAGCTCCTTCTGCTCTGCTGTAGAGAGGTAGCATACCTCCAGACTCAACAGGCAATGTCATATGAAGTGCCCTGGTTTTTTGCATCTCTGGCACAGTAGCAGCATAGAGCAGTACTGTCAAGCTGTGTCTACATCCATGAGAATGCCTGGTGGCAAGGAGTGCAGTGTAGGGATGGCTAGAGCAGGGGGAGGTGCTGGAAGTACAGGAGTAGGATAATGGAGACTAGTGACTGGAGTGGGGTGCTCCATTGGATGCAAGCAGTGGAGCTCCTGTTGGATCTCTATGAGCTGCCACTGATTCTGGGCCACCTTGTATTAGGAAGCAAGGCGTACCAACAAATAAAGAACTTCGATAAACTCTTGTTCTTGTACCTCACAACAGGAAGCTCAGACAGAATCCTTTTATCATCTGGATAGCCCTTGGCCAGGTTGTTGATGCCCTTTATCAGCATGGAGTGCAGGCCAGCCTGGAACATGAAGCACAGTTGAAGACTGTTGGAGTAGGCAGCTTGCTCAACTAATGCCCAGAATGAGTCAATGTACTTGTTCAGCATTAGCATCCACTCTCCCTGCCCATACTGCTCTCTGTCATGCAGCACTAAAGCAGCAGTTTTGGCAGGATTGATTGAAAAAAACTCTGCTCAGAAGTCTTTTTTGAAAGTGGCCCAATCTGCAAAGCTTCCAACACCTCCAGGGCATTGGAACACCTGTAACACATAGGTGGAGGCCCATCTGGTCTTCATATATAACAGCACCCAAGCTGTTTTCAATGCATTGGAGTCAAAGGCATCTCTGCTAAGGTAGACGTAGGTGAGACAGGACTGGAGGAAGCACCCTCTGCCAGAGCAAGCACTGTCATATGCATCCAGGAGTATGAGGCATGGGATTTGCAGCCAGAGAATTACCAGAGCTATAGAAGCAATTATAGGAACTGCCAGGAGTGGTGCAAAGATAGGGAGCAGGTGCTCTAGCAGCACCTGGAGAGATTGAGAAATATGATTGGTAGTCTAACAAAGAGTAGAGAGTTCAGTTGTGTGATGGGTGAGGAACAATTGTGTCAGTTGCACCTGGTTCTCTAGGTATAGTAGGCAAGTCCAGGCTTTATCCTGAAAGGCCAAAGCCTTCAGGAGAGTGTTTGAATTGGCAAGCTGAGACATAGAATTCTGCAGGTACTTAAGTCTAGTGGAGAAGTAATAAATAGGGGCTCAGAGGGTCCTTGTGGACTATGAGGAGATTTTAGACCAGAGTTAGAGACTTGTTCTGCTATAAGGGCAACCTCTGGGAGTAGCAGCTCAATCATGCAGCTAGTAGAGGAGAATTCAAAGTATATTGGCAAGGTAGTCAACAATACAAATAGTAACTAATCACCTAGCAAAGGGGAATCCAAAGAGAACAAGTCTAAGGATTCCCACTGCTCAGTGTGGTGCATCAGTGGGTGGCAGAGGCATGAGAATGACTGTACAGAAGGCTGGAGCTAGCCCTAACCCTAGGGAAGTGCTCATCAAAGAACCACAAGAAGTTCTGAGGGTCTCTGAAGATCTCCAGGGGTCTGGAATGAGCCACAAAGATTGCTGTGGAAGTTGGAAATGGAAGTCAGAGGTTGGAAATGGAAGTCCTTTGACAGGTACAGTCTAAAAAATGATACATAGAAACTCCTTGACAACCTTAAAAAAGCTCTAGATGCTCTTCCAAACTTTTACAGATTCTTCCTTTGCAAGCTCTTGGATTTTCAATCCCTCAATTTATGAGAATACTTACTAGAGATTCAACTCCTGCTTGTATGTACCCCTTCTTTTTCTTCTTTTGTGACTTATCATGCCTTGATGCTCCAAACTCTTCTACATTACCAATTTACTTACCACCCTATCCTTACATTACTACCACCACTCCTTGAACCCTCCAATTTGCTTCCAGAGCCCCAAGCCAACCTCCATGATGCCACTCCTTCCTTCCTGAACCCCTCCTGATTTGTCCCTTAATCTCTCACTCCATCTTATTTACCTTTATACCCTGACAATGCCATTACCCTCCAAACATCACTGGCAACTTCTTCTGAATTCTTTAATATCCCTGATGCCATCACTTCTCTAACACTTCCCAACATCCCTGGCCATTGCTGGTAACTCCTCCAAGATTCTCAACACTCCTATTGCCATCACTTCTCCAATATTCCAACACTCCTCCAACATTCTCAGCCATCACCTTTCTCAGCATCTCTAGCATCTCCAACCTCTCTGACCCTTCCTCAATACCTCAATGCCTCATTGCTTGTTGCCCCCCTTGACCACCACTTAGTTGCACTTTAACTCTGATGCATAGTAGAATGCCAAAAAAATATACATTAAAGGTCCTGACAAGAAAAATAAGACAGGTAAATACTATAGTACTTTTATAAGGAGTCTGGACTGGATTTTTCCCACTGCTCCTCTACTCCCAGTCCATCTACTGTCAGATCAATCACTTGCGGACCATCTACAGCACTAATATATCAATTGGACTGGGTGGAAGCACCTGCTGCTCCCAAACCCAACCAAACAACAAAAACATTTCCTCATATAGCTCTAGCAATGCCTCTACCTGAGTGGATAGCAGCACAATGACACTAGACATCCACTGCTCCAATTTTGTGTCCCAAGAGAACAAAAGGGCCTGGTGACTTTCTTGTAACTGGTCAAGTTGGTATAGGCTAGCCTGCAGCATTGTGGACAAATTGTTCAGAACCCTGTCTAAACAAATAAACTAGTGGATGTGACCCTATCCAAAAGAGCTTAGTAGTGCTGGAACCATGCTATCAGGCTTTAACACACAGACCACCTTTGCCAAGAAAAAGGAGGGCACATATAATAGGGCCAGACTTATTTAAAATGAAAAAAGATGAAGAAGAGGCTAATTATCTGACAAGTGTAATTTTTTGTCTCATGGAAAAACACTTCAATCATGGATACTGAAATTGGAACAATACAAGTGTAATAGTCCATAATGTGCTAGCCTAAGGCTTGAACTCAGCTGTTGAAACCAATCACTTCAATATCCAACATTAAAACTCTATGGGCTCCAAGTTATAATATGGCATCCTCTCAGAATGCTGTGAAATCCCTGCACAGAAGTCTTTGAAAAGCAAGACTGTGCAACAATTTAATCTCAAACTTACTGAGACAAAAGTGCTTATTGAAATACTTGGGAGTGTGTTCCTCATGGTCAGTGTCCATTCTACAATAGGTAGAGAGTATTTTATATCTTGTGCCTGCCTAGCTCAATCGGATAGAGCGTCAGACTCTTAGGCATTGTGCATCTGAAGGCTGCGAGTTCGACCCTCGCGGTGGGCTATTTGTAATTTTGTTTCTTTTTTCCCACCTAAAAATGTAAGGTCGTGGGGATCCACATGAAACTATGTAGACCCCGAGGCGAAGCCTGAGGTGAACACCATCCTTAGGGACATTCTACCTAACTAAAATAGTATATATTAGTGCTGGTACTACTCACATTGAACGACTATGCCTGACACAACTTTTGTTCAATGATATCTGCCCGCCTAGCTCAATCGGATAGAGCGTCAGACTCTTAGGCATTGTTCATCTGAAGGCTGCGAGTTCGACCCTCGCGGTGGGCTACTAGCCTTTCTTTTTTGGCACGAATAATCTACTAGCCTTTCTTTTTTGGCACGAATAATCGCCCTAATAATCGCCCTATTACTGAACCACCAACAATGATTTAAATTGACTCGAATGGGCTAGAAATCGTGAATGAGACCTATCGTACGTCGAGAAGACTGAAGCATTCGTATCAAGGATGGCGTGAGGAACTAAACCACTTCTCATTTCTGAGAATGCAAGTACGCACTACAGAACTGGCTGCTTCATAAACGAGTGACTGGAAAATTACAACAATATCTGATTCAGGGCGGGGTACAATTGCTCACTCGCCATCTGGTCAAAGGGCCCGAGTGATAGTTACACCGCAGCAGATCGTATCCCAGGAAAATTCCAAATGTTCGGGCGAAATCTCGAAATTGGCCATGGGCAGAAAACAGAACGTGAAGAGTAAATGTACACATATGACTACCTGTGCGTCGATGCTTCTAGACGTACAGTCGCGCAAATGAAAATACAGCATCACAGCATCTGACGAAGCGTTAATTTGTTTTGTCGTAATGTGATCTCGATGAGAAACACAACACCAAATGGAGATCGGCTGGAGAGAGCCCTCGAAGGTAGTCAAACCAGCAGGGGTCGACCCAAGCTTGACATATAATAGGCAAGATCTCGCGCCCCACACCTAGTAGTCCGACAAAGAGACTGCCGGCGAAGGCTGTCCGGAATCCAATGGAAGTAAAAGCACCATTGGATACTATGTATTTACTGAGAATTATACACTCAGTCCTCGGGTATGCAGGCTCCGAAAAGTTGTGAGTTTAGACTTCCAGGATCCTTGACAGTTTCTACTCCAACGGATAGGTCGAAGTTACAGCGTGGGGTCACATTATACATCATAAATGTATGATAATTTACGGTAGAATTGCCATGTTGTATGTTGTTGACATTTCGGTTTCTCTAAGTTCGATCCCAGTAATTTGAATTGCTCCACTATTTAGGTCGCCGCTGCAAGCATCCTCAAGGTCTCTATGATTTGACTCCATTTCTTTGAGGATGACCTCGAGGGCAGAGTCACAACAGCCCCAGTTTTCCCGTCGAAATCGCTCCAACACCGCCCAGTCTATCTTACGACCAACTCCGATTGCTCCTCTAAAGTTTGGCGATTTCAAGGTCCTCAATACTTGGGTGCATGACCCGAAGGATGATACCAAGGTCATTTTTAATCAGTCATGGTGGCTGGGCGTTGCGGAAGGCGACTTGTTGCGCGTGATGGGCGCCAACACGGACGATCCCAAATATGCGTTTCTTTTTTGTGTACCCAAGGACGATGGGTGCGCAAAGCCACAGTTGCAGGTCAGTACAGTATTTTCGGTGGTTCTGGGAAAGAAATGACGCTGTTACGACGCGTCAAAGATTTCTATACCAAAGCCCATTGCGGATGCATTTAGGCTGCGTAACAATTCGGAAGTGACTGTAACGAAGGTCAAGACCAACATCCGCTGCATTCTCATGATATCTCAAGCTTTTCTTTCAAGGTCGATAAACAAGATTGTTGCGCTGAATACATCGAATTGGTCTTCCAAGACCAGTATCTTGGACGCAATGATATGTGGAGATTAGGAAAAGACCTTGTCGGCCAGTGCATCTATACTGACCAACCAATCACCTTTGTTGGTAGCATTGCGGCCAAAATTCAGAGTATCTACATAGGTGGAAAATCTGTGAGTCTCTCCTACAAATCCATCTAAATCGCTAACGAGATGTTCAACAGGTGTCCTCGGCATGCGTTACATCTGCTACAAAGGCTATCTACAAGTCTCTCTCCGCAAGAATGACAATTTTCATTCAAGTCTGCTGTGAACTATGGGAATTTGCCGGTGACGGGGAGCGTTACTACGAGAAGATCGTTCATTCTTTCCTCCCTGCCCTCTTCCAAAAGTGGCGCGAAGCAGGAACAAATCATACGGTCACTATCGTTCTGATTTCACGTGTCTTCTACGAAGAGTCTGAAATTGATTATGCCGCGGGTCCTCTGCGTCAGGACGATTACGGCAAATGGTACAAAGACTTTTTCAAGGTCATTACCGACCTCGAAGTAATAAATGAGTGGAAGCCCACGCTCGTCAGCCTCAAAGATTCATTTTGGGACTTTCAGCGGGACATCCTCCTCACGCACCATTACCACCAGTCAACACTGGACGCCTCGACAATTGGTCCACCTGCGCAGGTGCGGTTAATAGGGCGCATATCTTACGCCCACGACGGACCCGTGCTTGAGGCGATCAACCTTGCACTAAACCCAACCGAGACACACTACATCGACCGCTCCCTGTCACTCACTGGAACAACAACGATCATCATCACACCTGGGTCAGGATACTTTAAGGTGTCCAAGGACCTCCTCCGGCTGACCACTACGCGCATACTCGACCAGGGTTTTGTAATTCAAGTCGTGTCGCTCACGAAGTCACCATTGCACCAGAGTCCTGTCTTCAGCTTTCGCAGCACTGAACCGAAGCATGAAACAATGCTTGATGGCAAGAGTGTTGCTCAACCACTCGATCCCCTTTGGGGTCCTGTCGAGAAAGACGGAGAGATGAAGACATTCTGGTGGGAACCACTGTGGGTTTCTATCACATTTTGGGACAAGCAATTGGACTTGCCCTTTAGAAGTGACAGGTAAAGGTGTCTTCTACGTTCTATGTGGAGTCGTTGATGAAAGAAATGGTCAGATTCATAGGACGCGCTAGGATGGGACAGATCCAGATGCTCGGTTTGCTCGAACTCGATGTGCTTTCGAGCATAGAAATACCCTTTCTACCTGAGAATAGCAACGAGATATCTTCATCCACCCCGATTCAGGAAGTTATAGAAGACAATTTCCCATCGCAAGCAGAAGCCGACAAGTTCGATATGGATATTTTTACTTTGCGGCCGGAATCAAAGGTCATCAATGTCACTAGAGATTCCGTCGCTTCCACAACAAGCCACTCTTCAACTGGAATGACATCCCGACTTCCTGAAAAGCGTCCTCTACAAAGGAATTCCACGACTGGAAAGATCGATCCAATTGAGGAAAGCCCAAAGCGACTTTTGGTCGACCTTCCGCCTGAACACTCGCCAGGGAAGTTGAAGACTGGAGCAGCCACCTTCAGTGGAGTCAGCAAATCGCCTTCTCAGTCTTCCATCATGTCACTGCGCTCTAATCTCTCCGCGTCATCTTCAAAGACGCGTACATCTCAGATCGCTGCTCCCAAGGCCTCTTTGGCATCTAAACTTGCCCCCTCGTGGCTCTTCAACCCTTTCCGAAGCCAGCCCAGTGAACCACAAACTTCACCTATCTCAGCCTCTGCCTCTTCAACGACTCATGCTCCCATTCAAGAAAAGGAGAACAAGCCAACATCACCACCTACTCCGGCTCCAGGACATTCTTCCCCAATTCGCATGCCCATCACCCAGCCTTTGGTGGCGCAAGTTAGTCGTCCTCCTCTCGTCAACTCGCCTCTGCCCGTTGCCATCCGAAAGTCGGCTGCCTCCATCCGCCCAAGCACAGGACGTACCTTTGAAGACGACACGCTTTTTCCTCAACGCATTGCCTTTCCCCGTCGTTCCCCTGTCGGTACTCCTCCACGCGACGAGACGACCTTCGTCAAACGCCGCAGTGCTACCTCCATTCACTCACCCTCCTTCATAGGTCCTGGGACCTCATCTTCCCCGGGGTTGATTGGCAACCCTTCACAGCCACAATCTTCCATCCCCCACTCGCAATCGAGCCTCGCAAGGCGGTGGCAGCATATGTTCCCACAAATTCTCACGAAACATGAGATCAAGTGGAATATCAAAGTCGTCCCGGTGTGCCTTCCACTTACTGTCGAGTACCTCCCCTCAAACGCTGAGCTCGATTCGTTGTATGACGTATTCTCGTACGATTTCGTTGTAGACCCTGGGGAGATGAAGAGTTTTCTTGTGAAGCCTCCAATGGCGAAGGGAAGCCTGGAAGAGTGGCGAAGGGCATGGGCGTTAGCGGTAATGAGGGGTATGGCGGCGGTGAGGCTTGCGCAAGGGTTTCAGTTTGTGGTGCGGCGCCCTACTAGAAGTGGAGGAATGGAAGAGAGGATGGCGTTGAGGAGAGCGAAATCGTTGATGACGGAGGATGATACACCCAAATGCATCGGAGCATCCGATGTGTTGCGCTCTCCAGATGATCCGGTGTATTTGAGCATGACGAATGAAATTCATTGCATCTCGTACACTGGAGAAGCTATCCAGGTTAGACGGTACGTGCGGCGCAGGCCGACCCCCAAGCCGTTCGAGTATCAGTGCCTCATGTGGCCAAAACTCGGAGGTATGCGCTTTCGACATCATATCTGGATCGACTTCATGACGCATGTCCTTAGGTGGTTACACGGAGTTATCAACTGCATTTGAGTCTCATGGTCTAGAGAACTATGGTTGGAATAGGTATGGAATTGCTCTCTTCCCCAGTCTGGGACATAGTTAACCACCCTACCTAGACTTGACATGCTAGTAGCAGGTTACGAACACAATTTCAATGAGTCTCTTCGTTACTGGCGCACACGATTCATTGTCATTCCTTCTTCCGAAGATCCCCAACCTACTTCAGGCCCCAATGGAGAAAAGCTCAATGAGGAAGAGATACGCATTATGGGAATCGAAAAGCTTGCAGACCAATTTACGAAGCTTCGGTGGCAGTCCCCAGAGGAAAAAGCTAC